GTTTCTTGTCTAGCTCCCAGGGTCATGTTTGCATATGCATTTGTGCAGCTCTGTTTAAAAAAAATAAAATAACAATAATGCTTGGGAAAGGCAGTAACATGAACTTGACTTCAGGCAGTCCTTGTCGTTTCCTTGGCAGAGCTATGGAAATGGTGGGCTACCACCTTCTTACCATATTCTCCAGAGGTCTTTCATCAAAGTACTAAGAGGGCCTGACCCTACTTAGCTACCTAACTCTGGCTATGCCAAGTGCTGAGGCATGAATGGGTGGGGAAAATTAGAATTAATCCCCCTCTCAAATAGTAATCAATGTGTCAGTAACCAATGTGAATTCTCCTTCTCTAAAACTGCTACATAATCTTTATGTATCCTGACTGCTACACGCACATTCACTCCAGTGGTGGGCTTCAACATTTTTTAGAACCTCTTATGTAGGTGTGGCCTGCTTTGTGGGAGTAGCTTGCTAGCCATGTGACCGGGAGTGGCTTGTCAGCCATGTGACTGGGGGGGCGTGGGCACACTGTAAAATGTGATGAAACTCACTTAACAACACTCTTGCTTAGCAACCAAAATGTTGACTCAGAAACTCTGGCATTTGAAGCATGTGAGTCTTAAAGCTGTCAAGTTACAATACCCTTGAGTCCCTAACCCTTTAGAAAAAAAACCCCAGGGGTGTTCAAACTTGACAGCTTTAAGACTTGTGGTTCAACTCCCAGAATTCCTCCTCTTGCTTTTCATCTTGATGATGTGTGGACGGGCGGGGGAGGGAGCTGGAACCGGTTCTAAACGGCACTGTAGATTTGTGGAACCTCTTCTATAGAAGAGGTGAGAACTGGCAGGAACCCACCCCCGATTCACTCACATTTTCATCTCACTATTTCCTCAGGCAATGGTAGCATTTTTTTTGGAGTTAAGGTCATGATTTCCGAGAAGTTTGACCCTGACTATGTTGCTGGCAATTTCTTCTTTTGCTGCTGCTGCTATGGCTTGAATGAGGAACGGAGCGGCCCAAATTTCTGGAAGAAATCCTCTTCGGCACGGACCAGTGCTTCTTCATCAATGTAGATGGCTGCTCTTCTGGAAGCTACAAAGTACTGCACTTTTCTCAAATTCCATCCCAGCACATATTTTAACCAGCCACAAATGGCAGCGGTGGACCTACCAACACCTGCATTGCAGTGAACATAGACAGTGTGCCCATTCTCCAGTAGCCCATGCAGGAGATAGACAGCCTGAGGCAGCATCTGGACTCTTCCTAGGATTAGAAACAAGATCACTGTCAAATGCATGCTCTACCCCAAATCTCTCTTGGAATACCCAGTATTTCTATGATTAGGCAATAAATTGTTCTTTTTCCTTTCTTTTTTCTGAGTAGCAGGGCATTTTAAGCAACACAGTGGCCTCCAACTTCAGATCATCTTTATTTCTATGAGTCCCTACGAAGCCAAACTGGAAAGGATTGTAAGCAACAAGGCTATGCAACAGGTCTGACTCCATTCCAGGAAGCATGTTTTGAAGCACAATGGAGCACAGGAGCCTGGAAACCCTTTATGGACTTTTTGCATAGAAATGCAGTAAAATGAACTTATGGTTTTGATGATTAAACAGGATATATTTATAGAAAGAGAGTCACAATATAACTTGAGAGAGGGAGAGAGTTAAAATAGAATTATAGCTACTGTGAAGAATATCAGAAGCTACTTCTTTCTATTGTTATATCTTTCTTTGCATTTATCTCGTTTTTCTATTTTCTTCTATTTTCTTTTTTATTGCATTTTTAGTTTTTTCCTGTTGCTTCTTTTTCATTTTTTTCTCTGTTCTAATTCAATATGTATTAGTTCTAATTATTGCTCTCAAATGTTTGATATGTTCGTCTCTCTCTGTGTGTATTTAAAAAGAACCACAAATGTGACACTAATCTACAACTCTTTAAAGCAACCATGTTATTTCCTAGGATCACATGCCTGTCATCTGACAGGAACAGATGTGGGCAATATCTAGTGATGGATCACACATTGTAAAAAACCTGGAAGCAGCATATTATCTGTGGATTGCTACCTCTGTTGCAAAGGAATAAAAATAATACTAATGTTAAATAATTCCAACAAATCCCAAGTATTTGTTTACTTTAACAAGTGATATAACCAGTCCACCGTTTTCAAAAGATAATTCTGCTTATAAATATATGCTGATTAGATATATTTTAGATATACTGTATGAATTTAAAAAAATTGATAATGCGTTAACACACTTATTCATTATTAAGACTCTGCACAGAGAATGCTTTCTCCCTGTTCAGTTATAAATTAGACACTGTGTGTTTACTGAAAATCCTGAAAAGCTAAATTAGTCATCATCAACTCTTACATTATCTTCTATCTAATAGAGGGAAGTGAGAAAATTGTGGAGTTTGTTTTAAACAATGTATGTTTGACTTATGACACTTGTGGTTGAAGCTTTTTATTATTTTGTATTTTTTTGAAAAAAATTTCGGATGTACATAAGAAATGCTTTTCAATAATTATGAATTCTGATTTCCCCATTTCAAATGATACAGTATGCCCTTTCTAACTTCATATCAAGTTTTGTGGCATAATTAACATTCATTATTATAACAACTGAATACACAAAAGCTATTAAATATTCATAAGCTTTATAGTCTTGTGAATTGTGTAATACTGTTGTCATACTATGTATTGGTATGTGGGACTGACCTTGGGAGACAGGGAGAAGAGCTGCAGCCAGGGCAATACTTGGATAAGAAGCAGCTTAGCCTTTAGCAGGAATGTAAGCATGGCATATGCCTCAGAAGGGAATCCTCCCTAGATTCTTGGGTTTTAAAGATGATGGAGGAAAAATGCATTTTCAAACTTGCAAGATTGATGTTGGCCTTGCAAGATAGTCCAGACAAGAAACACACAATGAACAACTAGCTTTACTTTATTGCAGGGATATCAAACTCGATTTCATTGAGGGCCACATCAGGGTTGTGTTTGACCTTGGGGGCCCAGGTTGGGTGTGGCCAGGTTGGGTATGGCTAGCTCGATGTCACTCATGTCGGCTGTGCCTGTGGTAGCCCAAACGCTCTGCCAGCAAAATGGACTCCTGAGCTCTGTTTACAGCTGTGACGGCTTCCTGCAACCCTCTGCCAGTGAAAACAGAGGTTGGGAGGGCCACCCGTAGTCCTCACAAGGTCCATTTTCGGCTGCAACAGCTTCCTGCAACCCTCTGCTAGCAAAAGCAGAGCTTGCGAGGGCTATAGGCAGAGCCCTTTCACTGGCAGAGGCACCATGGCCCGGTCCTTTGCTGTTTCCAGGGCGGCCCCACAGGTCAGATCTAAGCACCTCACTGGCCGGATCCGGCCCTTGAGTTTGATACCTTTGCTTTATTGTAAGGTTAAATCAATAGAATCTTGCAAGTCTGAAAGTACATTTCTCTCCCATTGCCTTTGCATAGAGACAAAAATAGTTCCTTCTGAGTCCCACATGCCTTCTGCAGGCTAAGCTGCCAATTTGTCCAATTATTGCCCTGGCTGCAAATCTTCTCCATCGCCCAAGATCATTCCCACATACCATTACATTTGCCTGGAAGGCTGACATACAATTGTCAGAGAGGGACTAACATGTCACAAAAAAAATAGCTAGCAGGAGCTTGTTTTGCCCTTCCTGCCTCAAAGCCCCAACCCAATTGCTAGTTATCCTGACATTGCGGAAACAAGAGGACATTGTGGTCCTTCCTATCAGCCAAATAAATAAGAATCATGAACTAGTGGAGCAAGAAAATCGTCAAGGGAAGACTTGCCAGTATTAGATAGAAATATTTGCTAACAGCATTAGCAGTTTGTTTTGACCTTGCAAAAACTGGTTTTCCCCCCTTCTTCTCTTTGTGTATCTTGTCCTTTTCAATTTATAAGGTTGATGACAGGATTCATTTACCTATCCCTCTTGTCTGTGTGAGAGACAGGGAAAGAGAACTGCTTTGGGATACAAGAACTAAGAAAAACAGAAAACAGTGTACTAAATAATGAATTTATACAATAACAGGCTGTTCTGTCTTAGCAATAATGTTGTGGTGAGCTAATTAAGGAATTTGGATTTCAGACTGATGACAAGTGTGATATTTTGGAAAGGTTGAATTTAGGAGTAATTTCAGTAATTAATCTATTCTACCTATTATCCATAATGCTTATTGAATAGTATTTATTTTATTTATTTATTTCATCAAGCATGTATTAGACAACGTGTGTGTGTGTGTGTGTGTGTGTGTGTGTATGTGTAAACATGATTTTGGATGCATGAAATGGATACGAATAAAAAGAAACATTAGAACAGGGATGGTAGGCACATTGGTGCGCTTATGTGTGAGGTTACCAAGGCAATGTCTACCTCTCCAGTATGTTGTAAAAAGGTTCTGTATTTTAATAAGCTAAGAAACATAATAACCCAAGGTGGTATTCAGCCAGTTCTGACCAGTTCTGGAGAACCAGTAGTGGAAATTTTGAGTGGTTCAGAGAACCGGCAAATACCACCTCTGACTGGCTCTGCCCCCATCTATTCACTGCCTCCCAAGTCCCAGCTGATCGGCTGGGTCTTATTCTGTTGCTTCCCACAGGAACTGGAAAGTAGGTTAGTGGGGTGGGGAGGGAATGGGGATTTTACAATATCTTTGCCATGAAATGGGGTGGAAATGGAGATTTTGCAGTATATCCTTCC